AGGGAACTGAGGCACAGAAAGCTGAGCTGGCTAACCCAGGACATCTCACTGGTGGTTGCTTCATCAGTTTTTGTTGCTGTGACAAAGATACTTGAGCCAATCAACTTAAGGGAAGAAGGATTTCCTTTGGTTCTGGGTGTTGGGGGTTTCAGTCCATGATTAGCTGGCTCTCTTCCTCTTAGGCCTATGGCAAGGTAGAAACACCATGGTACAAGGGCATGATAGGAAAGCTTTGTACCTCATGGCAGCCAGGAAGGGAGGGAACAGACAAAGATGAAGTGTGGCCTTCAATGACACATCCCTGCTGGCCTGCCTCCTCTGGGCCCCACCTCCTCGTTTCCACCCCCTCCCAGTAATCCCATCAAACCATGAACCTATTAAGGGATTAATCCACGGATGGGGTCAGAGCCCGAATAATCCAGTGCCTTTACAAAAGTCTCCAGCACCCCAAACATTTCACTCAATGTATGTTTGTGGTGACATTTACTACCTAAACCATAACAATGATTGTGACAGTTAACTTTTTGTGGTGGGGTGGGGATTGAACCTGGGCCTTGCAAGTACCAGACAGGTACTCGCATTATGGTTAATCCTGTGTGCGTGTGTACATGCATGTGTGCATGACAAATCCATATTGTTCTTCAGGTGCCATCCATCTTGGTTTTTGCTAGACAGGGTCTCTCACTGGCCTAGAGCTTGCCAAGTAGGCTAGTCTGGCTTGCCAGTGAGCCCCAGGGATCCATGTGTCTCTAACTCCCTGGCGCTGGGATTACAAGAGCGCACCACCACACCTGGCCTTTTTTGTGGATGAGTGTTCTGGGACTCTAAGTGGGGTCCTTATGCTTGCAAGACTAACATGTTAGCGACATCCCTTCTTTGGGCTCTCCACCCCCCAGTTTAGCTTTTGTAGCCAGGTAAAAACCTACTTCAGATGGATGTTATCCTGTGGCTCCAGAATTATTTCTAAGGTCATCAGCTCACAGAGTCTGGCATCAATTCCAGTATTAAAGGGCTGCCTTTTCAAAGGACTAGAATTAACACAAATGTCTCAGACGTGTCAGAAACCCCAAGGCATTTGATATGTACTATCTCACCGGAGCAAGACACATTTTCAACACAAGTGGACGAAAAGGTCAGAGGAGGTAAACTTGTCAGCTCAGGAAAACTGAAGCTGGAGCTCAACTCCCAGGCAACCCAAAATAGAAAGCTCAAGTCCCAAATTATTAAAAAATAATTTTTATTTCATCCAAAGCAAAGCTAAACCCAATTCTACAATGCAAAATGTGTTGTAGAGGCAAGACATCTAATGGCATTCACTCTGTGCTTAAACACAAGTCAGTGGTGGGCATGTGTATATCGGGGCCTCCCAGAGGCACCATGGACCTGAGGCTCCCACAGCCCATCACTATATTGTTTGATCTATAAAGTTATATAGGAAAATTGACTATGGGTACTGTCATCCAAGCCAGAGGAATAAACCATGCATAAGATAGTCAAAAGCACTGAATATCCAGTGGGAGATGGGAGAGCGGGGACTCCAATCTGGGACAAAATAAAGTGCAGCAAGCTAGAGGATTTCCCCACAAATCCTTCTCAGCATCCCTGCCCCAGCCCTCCAATGGTAGTCATCTGTCAATGGAGTCACCCAGTGGAATCCAGAAGCATAACTGTATATTTCTGTCACTTACCCTTCCTCTGTCTCCAGCTCAAGCTGCTGAAAGTACAGCGCTCCCTCTCCCCATCTCACACCACCTATGCTCAGCCACCCTCTTCAGTCACCCTCTGCAGACTGACCAGGCGCATCTTTCCACACACCACAACCATTCCATACTCAAGTGCTGAAAGTACAGTGCTCCCCTCCCCATCTCACACCACCTATGCTCAGCCACCCTCTTCAGTCACACCTCTGCAGACTGACCAGGCGCATCTTTCCACACACCACAACCATTCCATATGAGTGCACCCTTGAATCCCACCATCTGAAGGACACTCTTGCCTCCCAGGTGCCACAAAAGCTGGTCAGCCAGATGTGTGAAATTCTTCCCCCTGCCCCATCCACCCCTCTCTCCCACCCTCCAGCACTGCAGGTTGGTTCTAGTTGCCTTCTTCTCTACTTCTATACAGAGGGATCTGAGCCCTCAAATTCAGATGTCTATTTAGAGGTCAAGGATGAGAGACTTGTGCTTTGTCTTTGGTCTCACTGACATCATTGTCAGAACAACTGCATGGGTCCAGGTTTCTCAAAGTTAACCATATAAGAAGTTCTGTAGCCCAATGGTGCAGCGAACACCCTCAGCAACCCTGAGATCTCTACTGAAAACTTGCCTGCATGAGGGTCTGGCTGGGGAAAATGGCTTTTCTAGTATACATTCCAGTTGCAATCCGTGGCAATTTCTGCACAGGCATGAAGCTAGAACTAGGACCAGACATTCTTTGTTAAAAAGACTGTTCTGTGCTCTTAATCCCTATCCATGAGACGCCAGGAGTATCACAGGCATTGGGATAACAACAATAAAAAATTACCCCCATAGTCCCAATCATCACCATCAAAAAACAAGTACCATGGACAAGATGATTTATGCATCAGTCAGAGTCATGGTTCCTACTGTTACAAAGAGAAGAGAAAGAGTGTGAGTGTTAGAGGAAGAGTGTATGCAGGTTACAGGAATGAGGACAAGACAGGCATGGAACACTGTCTCCAGTTATAAGGGTTGTTTCCCAATGCCTTTCCAAGCCAAGTGAGAACAAACCAAAGCAACTCGCCAAGCCTCACGACAGTCCTGTGAGGTAGGTATGACTTCACCCTTTGGGTAGATGGGAGAAGCTGCAAGGGCCACCTGTAAGCCAACAGTAACAGGAAGAGAGCACGTGACACCCTTCCTCTCTCATTCTGTATGCCTTGGTTTTCTCCTAAGAAAGCAAGAAGAACCCACAGTACTTTGCCTCCTCCAGTGTTTGGAAAGAAAGCAGTTTTACATGAAGGCAGCTGGAAGTTTCCTGAATGGCTGGAGGCTCTGGTACCCTGTCTGCTCTCAGAGCCAGGTTACTCTGAGCACGGTGTGGGCTCACACCTGTCATCGAAGCACTGGGGTGATGGAGGCAGAAGATAAGGAGTTCAAGGCCAGTCTTGGCTATATAGGAAGTTGGAGGGCAGCTGGGCTATATGAGACTCTGTCTCAAATAAATAAAAAGCAGGAGAAGGGCGACTTTTACCCCAGCACACAATGGGTTATGGGTAAAGAGGGGCAGGAGAGAAGGCAAGGACCTGTGAGCTCCTTGACTTGGGCAAGAGACACTAGCCGTAGCCACAGATACTCTACAGGCCCTATTGTTCTTAAACTCCTACTTCCACTTTGGGGTAAGCCTTCAGCTACTCCTGGGCAGAGCCTACAACAATCCTTACACTCCCTTGAAAGAGGACTGGTCTTCATTTTCTGGGGACCCAAGAGTATCAGAAACGTCATGAGGAAGAGGGAGTTGGGGTACCCTGTTATCACATCTTACATATTACAAGGACCCCCACAATCAAAACCATCTGAAGATTCCACATCTGATGCCATCCCATCTCCATGTCAAAGACAAACCCGTGACACCCCACAGGTATCGCCAAGACTGCCACCAGCCAATAGGGCCATTGTTAACACAACTCCAGCATCATGGCCTCCTCCATGACCTTGGGGAGGGGAGCTGGGGAGCCTCACCATTGTCACACCAGACTGTACAATTAAGTGAGGGAGTGTGAGCCAAAGGAAAATGGGGTAAGAACCAGGACTCAGGGAGCTAAGGCACAATCTAGCCCCACACTTGAGGGGTGTGCAAGCCGGCTCTGCAGGAAGTAGAGAGAAGGCCTAAATACCCTCTCCCTGGTCCTCTTAACCTCAGGCTGGGAGAGGAGCTGGCCCAGCTGGGCAGAAAGCAGCTGGAAAAGCCAAGGGCCTTCTCATCTGGAAACAAGGGTCCCTGAGGCAAAGGCAGACCCAGGGCTGGAGGTGGATGGACCTGGGGGCAAGGAAAAACCAGGCATGCTGGAGGGACATAGGAGGAGCAAAGGTATAGGATGGAAGGTCCTAGGAAACCATCCCTCAAGTAAGGTGGCAACACCAGCTGTTTCAAGAGAAGGCGAGAAGTGGGGAAAACTAGCTCCGGGAGTGCCAGGGTGGCATGGTCCTGCCATGCCCAGGATAAGGGCTGTTAGTCGTGTAGGGCTGGGGTAGACATTCCAAAGGCTGGGAGGTTGGAGACACTGTTCTCCCACCTTTGAAACCCAAAGAGCAAAGCCAGAAAAGATGCATATAGCACCCCAGTGCTCTGGGAAGGATGGGGGCCTCCCCCAAGCCTCCCCAGCAGCTGCAGCCCAGAGAGCAAAGACAGGCTAGGTAGACTGAGACACTTGAAATTCCAGGGCATCCAGGCCTACGGGGGGGGGGGGGGTGTCTACAAATGCAGAGCAGGAGAGGGAGCCGGGACAGTGTGGGCAGGCGTTCCAGGGTGGGGAAAAAGAAGCCCCCTCTGAAGGAACTTCCGGAAGCCTGATAGCCTTTGAAGCCCAGCTTGCATCTCAGAACTAGCTCCACCTCCAGCAGACTCCACCCCAGAATTCTAGCACATTCCCAGCATCTTAATTGCTCATCCTCCACCCATCTCGGAAGCCCAGCATTGGGAGCAGCCTTCTGATCACCCCAATTTCCTGGTGAAAGATCAGGAAGAAAAGTGAGAAGACAGTGAGGGTTCACAGAGGTGGGAAGTCTAAAGGAGACCCCATTTTCCCAGGTGCCTGGGACCAACCCTGCCACACCTCTCCAGCCCCTCCTTTCTCTTTCTTCAACCTCCTGTAGGCTTCCTCCCCCAGCCAGCCCTTGTCCCTGGGAAGCCCTGGCTGTGGGAAAAAGGGTAGAGCAGGCTGAGCTGGGCAGGATCAGGTTCTTCCTGCTCAGAGAAACTGCAGTTTGGGCCAAGCAGCACACATCTCAGTAGGTGGGTCTACAGACAGGACTCAGGCTTCAATGTCACCATCTGAAAGTGAGGCTCCTTCCACTGCTCGGCCCCGAGCAGGGCCTCACACTTTTGTGGGTGGCTTCTCTTCTGCCTTGGAACCAGGCAGCCCATTCTCTGTGTTGTCATTTCCAGAGGAACTCACAAGACACTCCTTCCTGGAGAGGAAAGGGGGGAAGGGAGGGGAGGAGAGAGGAGACACTGGTGAGGAGAGGCGCAAGGGATTATGGGGTGGATGTGTGGCTCCCTGTATCCAGTCCTGTGCCCTCTCCCTGGTCTTTTCCTTTTTGTTCTGGTCCAGAGCAGCCCACCTCATCACCATCTTTCCCAGGGTACCACTTTCTAATGCCTTTTCCCTCCGGACATTTCTTTCCCTTCTAATGCCTTTTTCTTGCTCTGGCTGTGCAAGATTCCTCACCTGCTGCTTTAAAGTCAGCCTGACACTGCTCCAGAAAATTCTGTGCCTGGGCTCACACTCTTAAACCTGCCCATCTTTTTCTTCCAGTAGAAGTATATTGAACCCAAAACCTCACACAAACTGGGCTATACCACTTAGCTACATCACTGGCCCTACATGTCAATTTTTATAACTGAATTTGCATTATGACTTCCTGAGAGGCCATGCCACCATTTCAGATTTTAGTGTAGCTTAGTTTAGTTTAGCTGTAGCTTTTGAAATAAGGTCTCACGATGCAGACTAGGCTGTCCTCAAACTCAAGGGGATCCTTCCAAGCCTGACTCTCAACTACTGGGATTGTGGGCACGAGCCACCATGCTTTGCTGTCAGTCCTTGTTTCTGCCTCTCCCATCTGAATTCTCAGAATCTTTCACCTCCCTAAAAGTCTTTCCATTCTAGAGTTTCTATACATGAACTTACATTTTCTCTGATAAGAGAAAAGAGAGCTAAAAAGAGAAGTCTAACTCAGAAAATAAATAGGCTTCCTAAAGCCTGTGGTGGGCTTTGGGGCAAGTGGTACAAACCGAAAGAGAGAGGCTGATGGAACGTGGGGGGGGGGGAAGAGGGCTGGATAGGAGACAGCCAGGGGAAAGAGGTCAGGAGAGAGACAGTAGTTGGGGCAATGGCTGTAGGGACAGCAAAGGACAGTGGTAGCATCACAGGGGGCGGAGAGTGAAGACAGAGGTGATGCTGCAGCTGGCAGGGGTGGGTGGAGGTGGAGGAGAGGGTACCAGGTTGATGGAGCAGGGGAGTGATGGGGAGCCCACTCACTTCTTCTCTCGGGTCTTCTTGAGGATGAAGGTGATGAGCTTCTTCAACAGCAGGATGCTGACCAGAAGTCCAATGACCCCGCCCACCACAGCCAGGATGATGAGTGTCACTGTGTTGTCCACTTCCTCCACTGGAGGAGGGGCAGGCAGAGCAGGGAGGGAAGAATCGGGTGAAGCCATCACACAATCCCAAGCTGGCAACTCTACCTCCAGGCTATGACTCCTCAGGTCAACCAAGACAGATGAGGCCAGAACACACACCACAGGGCCTGTTCCCTTCACCCCAGAACCTCTTCCCATACACTCACACGCAAGTTGGGGGATAAATCAGAATGAGTCCACAGCTCCCAGTGTCAAGACACAAACTTATTTCTCAGCAATCTCTGCTTCCTCTCCTGCTGCCTTCACACACCCCACTCTGTCACCTTTGCCTGTAAAGCCTCCCTATGCCTGGCTTCCCCTGTTGCTTTATCTTATCTATGCAGCAACACCACTCTTTGTTAGATTGCATTGCTCCCTCAGCTGGGGGGGGGGGGAGCAGAGCTCCCATCCTGATCACACTGGACTCTCAGCACCCTGAATCATGTAAAAGGATGTCTGAAAAACTACACAGACAATAGCCACCTGTGAGGAGCCACTGAGCTAAGACGAGAGCCTGGCACCCAGAAACACTCTGTCAGTTGTGGTCCCTTTCCTTTCTCCTGCAAAGGCCAAGCACAGAGCAGAGTGACAGGAATCTAAACATACAGAACAGGTGACACTATTTGCAAATGTAACCCCAGACTCAGGAAAGACTGCCTGGATGATCTCAGGCTCTGCCCTTGGGATAGCCCAAATTCAACTCCTGCTGTCCCATCTCCAGGGGCTCCTTGAGTGAGTCACGGGGTGGGGACATCCAGGATCCTCAGCTACAAGGTTCCCAACCTAACTTCTCACCTATTTATCCCCTTTTGCCTCTTTGACCACCTCCATGGACTAGAGGCATGTGGCTACCTGGCTCCTTGTCTTCAGTACCTTCCCTGCTTAATTGACTTACCTGTATCCAATCCCTTAGGGCATGGACCACACCCCATTCCATCTCTCTGGGACACCTCTGTACCACTGCTATCCTCAAAAAAGAATACTGTACCAGTCACAGCATCTTTTACTACAACACCCGACAGCCATCAACATTTGCTAATGCAGTACAAAGGAGCAAAATTCACCTACATGGAGAGAGCTTAATGCCACCGAACACTCCTAGATAGCTTCTCTGACCCTCACAGCCACCCTGGAAGAAGGCAGCCATATGTCCATTTTATGGACTAGGAGATCAAGGCTCAAAGATGCTCAGTGCTACTCCCAAGCCATTCCACAGTTGGCTTTTTCTAGCTTCCATATGTAACTCTTGCAAGTGTAAAGAGACGGAAATCACCAGCAAGGCCCATTTTGCCATTTTGCTGCCACACTGAGATGGCACCCCAAGTCCTTCCTACCCTACCACCCTCACCTCCACCCCACTACATACATTTATCAACCACTTGGAGAAAGATGGTGGCTGAGTTGTTCAGATCCTTCTCTTTGGGGTTCCTCACGAAGCAGGTATATTTGCCTGTGTCACTGAACTCCAGGTCACTCAGCAGGATGGAGATATTATTCATCTTCTCCTTGGTGGAGCCCTCCAGGGTGATTCGGTCGTCATCCTTCACCCTCACCTTGGGGTCAGACTTCTCATTCTTCACAATGCCATCGATGAGCTGGGCAGGAAAGATCAGAGTTATCAGATGTCACTGCACCCTCCCCTGAGTGCCAGCCCTGTCCATGCCCCGAAAGACCCTTCGTTTTCCTCCATTCTCTTTGCCAGTGGCTATGGCTCTGCCTGTCCTGAATTCTGCCTGTTTTAAACTAAACCTGTATCCTTAAGGACTCTACAGCACATCAGCTACTGTTTTCATAAAACATCCCATCCCACAGTGCTTCTGCAAAATCACACACACACACACACACACACACACACACACACACACACACACACACCCCTCTGCATGCTCCACCCAGCCTTTACTTACACTGCCACCCCACTGAATCTTGCCTTTCAGTAAGGACCTGGATTAATGCCACAGCTCTCTCCATCAGTACCCTCTAAGGCTGCACACTTGGGACTTCCCCAGCTACTCTGAGAGAAGAACCCCTTGCCAGGCTTCAAAGAACTCCATCCATATCTGTGATAAACTCATCCTTTCTGGCTCCCTCTCCTGTCTTTCCAAACACAGCCCTCTGTCATTACTCTTTTCCAACAGTTTCTTTCTCCTGATTGCCAAACTATTAAATTCTCTGCAAATATACAAGTTGCAGGTTTTCCTCAGGACAGGACAACAAAGTTTAACCAAAACTGCCAACAGATCCCAGATTCTGGCATCACCATGGAGACAACCCTCCTGCCTGGACTCTGAGAGAAAGCGCAACAAATGGTGGGCTCTTGGGATCATCATGGTGGAGCTTATCTCAGAAGGGACCAGAGCCTGGGTTTGAAGGCGTCACTTACAATCTTGTATGTATCGCTGTTATTGTAGGACCACCTGAAGTAGAGATTCTCGAAGCCAAAACAGCTGGAGAAGGTGCAGGGCAGCAGAATCGCCGAGCCGTTGATAGCATAGATGGTGGTGGCCTTTCCCACAGACACCTCCAGCGACAGGGACATAGGGAGCAGGAAGAGACCTGTACAAGGGACACGGCCTCTCTTAATACAACCCCACAGGAAGCTCTTTAATGGCACTCTCAGGCAGGGCAGAGTGGCTTTGCCAGGCAAAGAGGTCTTTGGCACCCTCAGGAGGGAAGGTGGTTCTCTATATAGTATCTGCACGGCCTGGGCCACGCATTTCAATATCCACTTGGCCTGAATAGGACTGAATTCTGAGCCTTAGTGGCCCGTGTGGTACTCAGAATGACCACGAGGGGTCACCCCAGCACAAGAAAAGGAGGGTCTGACAGCTTTTTTCCTCGCCTGTCCGGCAGCTTGTGTCTTCGCCCCTTCACCTGTGTCCTGATTCAAGCAAGCACAGATTAGGGCCAGGGAAGTGCTGGCACTCCCTTTCACCTGCACGGAGTGGGGGGATAGCCTTCCCTAAATCGGAGAGCAACCCTGATGACGTTTGGAAGTTGCGGGTGGGGTGCAGAACGTGAAAAGGCGCGACCACCGCAGTCCCCACACTGGAGCTAGAGGCAGAGAGACACTTTAGGGATGGACATTGTCTGACTAGTGAGTCCAACGCTCCCAACCACACAAGGGGATCCCGAAGAGAAAAAGACGACGACCGGCCAGCCGTGGTGAAACCGCGGGGTGGGAACACAGACTGCTAGCGGGAGGACGCATGATGGAGCAGAGCGCAACTCTCTGCAGAGGCCATTCGAACCAAATGAGGGCACACTGCAGGGTACCGGACCTCGGGGTGACCAGTTCCCTCCCGACTCTGTGAAGCGCGGGTCCTCCCCAACCCCGCAGCCATTCTCCGCATCATCACTCCAGGAACCACAGCGACACCCTCGCAGCCTCCCAACCCCCTCCACAAGACATCCCTCTTCCCCCACACCCCTTCAGCAAGACATTCCTCTGCCCCCCCACACACACACACACTCCCTCCGCAGGACATCCCTCTTCCCCACACAACCCCTCCCCACGCCCTCCCCCTGCAGCCCCCACCCCCCCACCCCGGCAGCCCCCCCGT